CCTTCTCTGCTTAAATAATTGATGATAGAAATATATGAAGAGCTCCAGGCTTTATTTTCCAATCTGGAGTTTATTCACGTTACAGTTGCCTGGTAGCCTAGAAACACCTGTGCTTTCTACACAGAAACACAGAAATTTAAATATTGGTAACAAATCACCCATGATAACATGAAGCTTTGCCTCAATTAATTTGTCCTGCTTCTCAGTGTCTCAAGCTCCACATTGACATGGGCAGAAGGCTTCCAGACCCAAAATCATTAATCTCTGTAATGCTGCAGTACCTCCACAGCCTGTGTGACTCCGTCTGATTCTTACTGATGTGGTAGAGCTAGCACACAGAGGCTGGAAGGAGCAGTGGTAGAAGAGATGTGACTGACCAACCACATGTTCCTTAAAGAAAACATTATTTCTTTTTCTTTTTAAAAGGTGGGAATATCACATTTATAGCCAAAGTGGAAGCCAAAGATCTTCTCCGAAAGCCAAATGTTAAGTGGTTTAAAGGGAAATGGATGGACCTGGCCAGTAAAGCGGGGAAGCACCTGCAGCTGAAAGAGTCCTTTGAGCGTCACACGAAGGTGTGTCTTTGCTTTTCCTTCTTCCAGGGGCAAAGCTCCAAAGGGAGCTTAAAGATCAGCTTAAGGCAACACATAGACATTCAAGAGCAGTGGATTCTAACCCTAGCTTCCTCATGCAGATATCAGTGATGATGTCTGACCCTGTGCAGGAGCAGATTTTTCTGCTTTCCCTGAAGAAGGACAAGAATGGTGGGGAAATCAAAGTTTTCTATTGCCGTTTCTGTGTTCAAGTTACTCCTTGCCTCTGATTTAGGTCTGAAAGACTGATGTTTTAACGTCTGCTTTTTGCAAATGTATCCTCCACAGTAATGAACAATTATGTTTGATTTTCAGATTCACACATTTGAGATGCACATAATTCAAGCTAAGTTAAACTATGCAGGGAACTATCGCTGTGAAGTATCCTATAAGGACAAGTTTGACAGTTGCTCTTTTGACCTCGAAGTCACTGGTAAGATTCCACTTGGGTCTATAAAGCTTTATAAAGATTTTTTTTTTTTTTTTTTTACCTGAAATGCCACCTAATTTTGTTCAGAACCTTTAAAAGAAGTAAAGCTTAATGCAAACATTTTCAGCATAGAGCTCAGAGAATTTGCTTAAGTGTCTGTAATTTATTGTTTAAATTCACTTTGGGATAGACAGCATTTGAGGCATCAGTCCAAAAATTTTAAAACCTGGCAGATAAAATAGTATTGAATATAAATTAGACTCTGGCACACAAGACGGAGAGAGGCTCAGGGCTATTCAGAGAGTGAGGCTTCATCTGGCAGCATCTGAGCAGGGGACACAGAGCAGTCACAGCTCATTAGTGCTTTGCACTCTCACCAGGCATAGTATGATCATACCCCAGAAAGCTGTTTCTTCCACTCTTCATCAAAATAAAGAATAGCACAATGTGGAGAGCACTGGAGACTTGTGCTTTTAACTATTTCTGTGTTATAAAAGGGCTTTGACAAACATTAATCCATAGGTTTATCTTTTCTTTCGAGAGCAGTTCTGCCAGCACAACAGCTCACACATACCTGCATGATCAGACTGAGAAAGATGGATGTCTTCTGAAATGCCATGGCCAGCAGCCAGTGGACAAAATAGTTGTTCACCCTCATAAAGCACGCCTACCAAATGGTCTAAACTGGACTGTTCATTTACCAGTCAGGGGAAGCTGGTCACAGTTAAGGGAACATTTGACAGCTGACTGACAGTCTGAGGGGCATAGGCAGGGTCCAGCCTGGCTAAATCCATTCAGTGACTGTGGATCAGAACCATTTAATCTGATTCAGGCTAGCACAAAAGGGTAATTCACATAAAGGGGATTCATCCTTGCATCAAGAATCAACATGAGTCTGCAGCTGTAGAGAAGACTCTCTTTCCTCTGATGCTGAGCTTATTGAGAAAGTGCAAGATCCAAGCAGGCAGGAAAGAAACCATAGGGAATGAGAAGACAAAAAGGCCAGAGCCTGTGTATAAGCACGAAGAAGTTTGGAGAGAAACATCAGAGACAGATCTTCTATGCAGAAGTGCCGAAAGTAGTTTAGACAAATGCATTAATTAAACTTAGCTTAACGCTGAGCAGCTTTGCATTTATTAGAACTCAATGCCAAAGGAACAGCATGAAATACAGTCACTTAGCAGGAAACTCAACGAATTTCATATGCCAGATGACAGTGATTACATAGATTAGATTAATTTCAAATTTTGTTTCTAATTCCTGTATTACTGTTCTTTCATAGAATCTTCCCAAGCTGCACAATCCATTGACATCAGATCTGCTTTCAAAAGAAGGTAACTTCAAAGAGTGATCCTGTGAAGCTCCTCAGTAATGGAAGCTGGTAGCATATACAGAACTTGCACCAGTCTTGGCAGACAATTCTATCAAGTACTTCAGTAAAATGTTTTTGGAAAATAAGATTAAAGAAGTTTGGGTTAGAGTATTTGGTAGTGGGTAGAATGAAATTGTTTACAACATACAGACAGTACCTACGTTATTACTCTACTGTGAAATTAAAGTGTCAGTGCTTTAAGGGAAAATAGAATATTCAAGGTAATTAAAGATATGTTTCTTTAGAGGTTTTAAAAATCATATTTTCATTCACTAAAATATTTTACTGCATGTTTCCTGAAAGTTGTTAGCTACAACATGAAAGTTCCTGGTCCAAATCCTGTACTGATTAAAAGCAGAGAGAAAATTCACACCGATTTCAAGATGGGATTTGGCTTTATGTTACCTTACAGTAAAAAAGCCATCATTATGGAAAAACTACAAATAATATATTGCAGAGGATGTAAGATAAAGCATTGTGTCTTAATTTTTGTTACCTTTGCAATAAGATAGCAATTCAAACCAGTGCAGATGTCATCTTTTTATTTTATAGAGAAAATTGTCTCACAAGGACAGAAATATTTAGAAACAAAATGTTTTAAAAACAGAAAATTAATGCAGTTTGTCAATGTACACATAGAAGCAGAGCTGTGATAGAGAATTAACTGCTTTTATTTAGAGAGATTTGATTTAAAGAGCAAATGCAAAAGATATTACATTGAAGGTGCACTCCTCTCTTTAGCACATTTAAAAAAAAAAAAAAAAAACCTGCAATAACTATTCTGCCCAAGCAGGTGAGGATATCTCAATACTTTCTGATTTTCTAAGCAATACCTTGCATGCAAAATCTGGGATGAAATATTGGCATCATTTGACTTAACATTTACAGGATTTTGCCCTTTTTACAAATATTAAGGGCATTTCTTTTGTCTATATGTGCTTTATAAGAAGGTATTATTGCTTAAGGTCATATTATAGAAAGAAATGCACCTTCACAGGACTGTAATTCTATCTGTAGAAATGTACAATGTACTGTTTCTTTTTTTTTTTCTCTTAACTGATTTCTCCCTTCATTTAGAGAAAGGTTAAATCTTAAGTGTAATGCTTTGCAAACATTACTGGACACAACTATGCACTGTGAAAAACACCACCCAACAACGCAAATCTTTGTTTTATGTTCATAGCAAAAGATCAGCACAAGCCCTTTGTTTTCATACACGTACACTATGGAAATGAAAAACAAAGCTCGTTGTGTTGACTAGCTCACATTTATTTGTGTTACTGAAATCTAACACAAATCTTGGCAAATTTATGTATGCAGTTACAAAAATTTGTCATCAAAGTATAAGAAGCAATACAAACCTTTGTGTTATTTTTCACAAGTGCCTAAGGAAACATAATTTGTGTGAAAAAGAATACAAGTTTGTGTTGTTTAAATACCATTATTTGTGTTCCTGGACAGTGTTGAGTATATGAGATATGTAGAACGTTTGCAATGTGTGCTAAGTCTTCCTGTATTAAACAAAGATTTGATCTTTTTCTATTAATAACAGCGGTGATGGACAAGACGATGCAGGAGAACTTGACTTTAGTGGTCTCCTGAAACGTAGGTGAGAACCAAGTGATGCAGTGAGCAGGTGTGGATTGTAAACCATTAAGGTTCAGACACAGAAAGAGTCAGGTGTAGCATTAATAACATTGTAAGAATTTTCTGACCTTTTGCTTTTTTCAGTGTTTCTAACTATTGTTCTCATAGTATATCATATAAATGTCCAGCTAATTGTGCCTTTAAGTGTGCAGAAAAGAAACCTCAGATTCGAGTGCAATGTGAAAAAAGTGAGCCACAACCTAAAGAGGCCAATAACATTAAGTTTATTTGCTATTTCTTTTGTGTTTGCATGGAAGGTAGAGGGGGACAACTTCCTACACAGGGATGAGCAGTTCAGAAAATTGAGTCTGGTGAAAGAATGAAAAACTGCAAGGGTTAAATTTACCTCTTTGGGTTCATCTTTCTTTGATTTTGTAAGCATCCTGATACAAAAAAAAAAGAAAAATTAAAAATTTTAAAAAATCTTATATCATTCTTTCAAACCATAGACATCGGACATGTTTCTCTGGTTTGCCTTGAAAATCTGGTGTTATGATATTTATGATTCTAGCTATTTCATATCTTACACCTCATCTTTTAACAGGTTAAGAAAGACAATTAATTTGTCATTTTTAAAAAGAAATGCTATATGCCATGTAAGTCAATGACAAATGACCGCAGAGCATTGGTAAAGGAACTAGGTCCTTTATTTAATCTACTACTTACTCTGAAAGAGGAAAACCCAATATGCAGTATTAATTCCACAAAAAGTTCACAACGGGCTCATGAGCTGTGATGGTGAGGATAGCGTTTAAACAACTAATGCAAAAAGGAAAGGCTGAAGATAAAAGTAGGCAGTGAAAGAATTACTGAACAAATTCAAATCCACCAGGTCTTTGTTTTTTTAACCTTCTCATCCCTAATTAGGATCTTCAGTTTGACTTCTTATCATACTAATATAACTTACGATGACAGTTCTCATGACTGCATGTGGGGTGTTTCATTAGGAACATGAGAGTTGCATGTAAGAGGTCTTAGTGTTTTTGTGGAAAGAGAAATGTGATTTAAGAGTCATTATCAATTCACTAACAAGTAACTCACATGTTTTGTAAGGTAAATACTGCATAGCCATATAAACACAATATACCTATTGTTTGGTTAATGGGCAAAGCAAACTTTTAGTTTTTAAACACCATAATTTGATATTTGTCAAATTGGTTATCCCCTCCTTGCCTCAGGCACTGAAATGCAACCTCATACTCCTGAGCTTAATTGAATAAGATTGCTGATTAAGACCCAGTGTGGTAATATTAATTTTTAAGAAAACAAACGCACATTTCCATTTCAATTTTTTTCAAGAAGCAATGTCACAGGCGCATTCCTTCTCTTTCGTATGGTGATATTACCAAGGGAAGAGGTAGAACTTTTTACCTGTGGTGCATAACATTTGAAACATGCTTTTTTTAAAAAACAAACAAACAAACAAACAAACAAACCTAAATGCATAGAATCTATATACTGCCTATTTTCTAATTTTGTGCTGGTCATGCAGGAAGACAAACCAGTTCTTAACCCAGTAAGCCACTCTGTGACTGGTTATGCTTTGTCAATGCAATGGACCAGTAACGGCACGAAATTCCAAAAGGCACAAGATCTCAAAAACATTCAAACATTTAGGTCCTTTTTTTAAAAAAAGCACATCTTTCAAAAATATGCACATTTTCAGGGAAAAGATCTGAAACCAATTTTGTGGAGAGATGAGTCTGCTTGGGAAATACCAAGTATTTTTTTCCCACTGCTCAGAGCAGAAATTGTTGTGGTCTCAGAACAAAGCTGTTTTGCTCTAAGTTTCAAAATTTGTTCTTCAGCTACGCAAGAGAAAAAGAGGAGATTGGAATTTATTGTTTCAATCTGGTTAAAAACCAGGATACTCTAACAGATCCTCATTTTCAGCTACTGCCTGATTTAAAGGGGTTCATTATCTCAATTCCTACGGACTCCACCTCCCCTTAGCACGGACAGGCATTGAATAGCAAGTGGCCAGCCCTGGGAGAGGAGAAAGCCACCCCATGGGGTGTGCCAGCTCTTACATATGTTTGCCAGCTGATCGTGACTTGCTGCGATGCAGAAGAAATCTCACTGAAACACCAGTGTTTGCTGTACATAGAAAGCATACACATGTCCTGAAAGCATGAGCACAGATAAAAGTAAAAGGAACAAACCACAGAATTACATACCTGAGATAGTCTAACCAGAATGATCCCGGTCTGATCATAATGAATTTATGGGGGAAAAAAAAAAAAATCTAGATTTCTGTTCAGATTCCTGGATTGTTCAGTTCACTTTTTTGAGCTAAGCTGTCAATCTCAAAAAAGAGCATTTTGTTTAGGATGCTTCCAGTATTCTCTTGTTTAAAGACTGCCAATGTGAAAATAGTTATATTTTTCTTTATTGGCTGACTTATCCTGGAGCTGCAAATAGTAAATACGGTATTGAATCTTTTGTATAAAGATGATGCTATTCATGCAGGCCTCTGAAATCATTTCCTGTCTTAAGACTGAGATAAACATGGAAGCCAACAGATCCGTCTTGCAAGTCCAAGCTTGTGCGGAAATCTCCAGTTCCTACCCATGTGCCTACCTTAAGTAACTCTAAGAAGCACTGGCATAACTATAAACAGACCCAGATTCCCTTGGATTTCAGTGTCCTTTCATCAGTCATCCTTAGTAGCAGTTACAGGGACTCAGGGTTTGAAAGCATTTTTATATAATTATGAAATGTACAGATTAGGCTCAAATCTCAGTGGTGCCATCATAAACCAATTCCACTCACATTACAACAGATAAAACTAGTTTAAATGGGATTAGCCCATATGCTACTATAGTACAGCATTTTCACGGTTTTGATTTTATTTAAATAATGAAGCAATATAAAAACTCCTAAGTAATTAAATCATAAAAGACCAAATTAAAGTATATCCAATTTCTGCATTGAAGAAGTTTAAAGTAAGGTGTGAATGTCATTCTGAGCTATTCTGCTTGTACTGAGCAAAGTAAAAGTATGATGACAGCCTTCAAATTTTGATCAGAACATTTCTAACCTCACCATAGATTCATCTTCACTTTTTTATATGGTTTGATAAACTCACTAACTCTTCTCCCGTAATCATATTTTGCTACCGTTAGGGAGGTTAAACAGCAAGAGGAGGAACCTGAGGTCGATGTGTGGGAGCTCCTGAAGAACGCGAACCCCAGTGAATATGAGAAGATTGCTTTTCAGTATGGTATCACTGACCTGAGGGGCATGTTAAAGCGTCTGAAGCGCATGCGCAGGGAAGTGAAGAAGAGCGCAGGTATGGATAAGGCAGAATATTCTTCTGTTCAGTAGTCAAACATGAGCATCCAGCTTAAAAACCCAAACTTGTTTCTTTTCCATCTAAGGGGACTTGCACACTACAACACAAGGCTTACTACTAAAAGGAGTTAACCATAAGAAGGCTTTGGTCCGCTGTGCTTAGTGTAAACACCCTGTTCCACTCAGTGCTTTCCAAAAGTGTCCCTCCTTCTCAGCCAAACAGTAGTTATAACTGGAAGAAAGTCCTTCAGTTGTGTGGAAAGGTGTTGTTACTGTCAAACAGTATGGAAGTGAGACTTCGCGTTATCATTAATATCTCCTGCTCTACAATAGAATCACTCCAGTCACACACTTTGCTCTTCATAATTTCATTTTGCTCTTAATCTGACATTGCTCTGAGGTACCAGCTGTACTAAAAACCCTCCACCTTGCACTGAGTGAGGACATTCAGGCCTGTCCTTCCCCATCTACCCTACTGAACAGTATGAGTGGTGTAATACATACATCAACATAGATGTGCTTATATACATGTGTGTCCATCAAATACATGTATATATTGCACAATGCATACACACACACATAAACACAACGCGCTACCCATTACACTATTCTGGCATTTGCTTCTTCCTGAAGAGTATTTCAGAACTAGATGCAATATATACATCTGCTGTTCCACTGGCTTCCTGGAGGAGTCACGTTTGTGTAAGTGAAATACTCCACAAAACCAGCTGTAATCCAGCTGCATTTTATACTCTCTCTCCTCATCCATTACTTCACATCATAATGTGTTATGTTCCTACATATTAATTTTTATTTATATTTTTCATTTGCTGGTATATCTGGTTCTGGCCACATTTGAGGGAGGGAGAAGTGGAGCCAATGGGCTTTGGCTGAGCCACAAGGGTAGTTTCTGTATCCAGTGGAGCTTTCTAAGGGAGGGAAGCCCAGGGAAACTCCTCACTTTCCCCCACATGAAACCGATTCATGTGGACTTGCCTAAGAATATAGTGATGTATAACATTGTGTGCATGTATTCTAAATGCTTTGATGAGATTTATGCAATGTCATTTCAGCATTCATATTCTTGTTTTCTGTTCTTCTTCTGTAATAACACTTCGTTTCCACAACAGCTTTTGCCAAAGGTCTTGATCCTGCGTATCAGGTGGACAAAGGAGGTAAAGTAAGGTTCATGGTGGAGCTAGCAGATCCAACAGTTGAACTCAAGTGGTACAAAAATGGCCAAGAAATACGACCAAGTGCCAAGTAAGTAGCTTTATTGTAGGTAAGCAATAAAATGGGTACACATGTGTTTCCTTTACAAACGTGTTGCAGGGATCTATCTCTTCTGAGGTTACACCGATTTTATTTCTGAATTTCTTTATATGCTATGCTATATTGCTCATGACCCAAAAAAGTCTACTGTATGCCAAATGTTAATGCAGTTTGGCTCCTTTGCCTGAGGAGAAAAGAACTGGAGATCTTCAACAAAACACGGAGCCACTTCCTACTCTGTAGTTTTTTAAAAATTGAGAAGTGCTGTAAATAAATTGCCCTCAGTCCTATGTCTGAAATAGGTTAGAATCTTCCTAGATTAATTGGGTGCTAAGAGGAGCGAGGTTTAACACCACATACTTACCCATCTGGCTCATAAACCACCTGAGGAAAGGAGAATGAGGTTTGTCTCACCTTCCACTACCCAGTTAATGTTCCCATTGAAGTCAACAACCTGCATTAGCCCAAAGTGGTCAGTCATGTGCAACAGGTCTAGTGAATCCAAGCTTCTTCATCATCTCTATCACCTGCATGTTGGTTTACTTTCAGGTTTTATCTAGAAGTGGCTTTTCAGGTGCAGACACTTAAGTACAGGTAGAGCAATAGCTGGAAGTTGAGCCCAGTCCCTAGTGTGGGCACAACTAGCTCTTACAACTCAGTGCAGAAAATCCCATTCCAGAGTCAGACACAGCTAGGAATGACGATGTGCAGCCAGTAATGCACAACCACGTAATGTTCCTCAAATGTATCTCAGCACCACAAAATCCTAGCAACTTTCTCCTCTGAACCTGTGAAAAAATAGTAATTAGCAGAAGCCCTCTTATAGAAAAGGGGCAGATTTCCTTCATTCTATTGCTGCAAAAGTCAGTGAATTATTTCCATTAATACTCATTGTTGACAAAAAAAAACCCAACATAATAATGAGGGTACCTTTTCATTAGCCTCTGTATTTGGCATGAGCAGTTCAGAACTGGTTCGCAGGCAGCTGTATGGATGTTTCTCCTGTGGAAAGACCTGGACTGAATGCTTTAGTGTATTTCTTCCAGGCTGCTGAAGCAGCTGTCAGATGCTAATGAGCTTGGGTCATTACAAACCTGGAGCAGATCTAAACTGGTGACATAAAGGTGAAAGGCTCCATATCCCATTACCAAAACGCCATATCCCATTACTGATCTCTTGTGCCATCTGGCCAACCAACAATATTAACTTCTTAACTTCGGCTATTATTATACTTCACAAAAATGTTAAGAGTGTTGGAATGAGGATGGTGTCCTGTTGCTGGTTATTTTCATCTTTACTCATCTAGAGTTTCAGACTCCATTTTATTTGCCATCCTTCAGAGCCTGTTCATTTTTTTCTATTTTTTTTTATATCACTCAAGCCTGGGATTTTGGAACAAGTCAGAAGATGTTGGTTGTCACTCTGCACTATAGCTCTTTTTGCTAAAAAGTCTATAACAGTTCTGTCAAATCTTGGAAATTGCTTCCCAGGAAAATTTTTCGCACTTTCTACATAAAACAAAAGGGCTCCAGCAGTGTTGCTAATGTATCTTTGATGCATTCCATTCCTGTTCAAACAGATACATTTTTGAGCACAAAGGAAACCAGCGAATTTTATTCATCAATAATTGTTCGATGACTGATGATGCTCGCTACTACGTAACAGCTGGGGATGAGAAATGCTCCACAGAACTGTTTGTGAGAGGTAACTACATCCTGTTGCTCCTATTGCACCTGCTGTAAATTGGTGCCACCAAAATTAGCAGGGAAGATCTGGTTTAGTATATTTTTGTATTTGTATTAGTAGCCCCTAGGATCACCCTGAATTTCTGTGATCCCTGACCATGATTTTTTTCTCATCCTGTATTTAGTAATTTAGTGAAAGCCCTGAAACGGGGATGTGGTTGATTTCACTTTGTGTGCTGGGATCTAGTGGGGCTGTGGTCCCCCTCATAGCTGTAAAGCCATTTTGGAGATCTGTTTGTCATAATGTTGGCTTTCCCTAACACCACGTTTAGATATCTGATTATCCTGATACTCACAGTCCAAAGATCCGTTTCAGGTACCTTCAGTAACTCTAGCAGTTAGTTTTCATTCCACCTGGATTCAATCTGCAGATTTAAGGGAGGACTCTGGTGAAAGCTGTGAATGAGTGGCCATTTCTTCACCCTTTTTGTTCATGGTTTTGATAGTCTTACTGGTAATATTCATAGCATTATTCACACGTGCACAACAAAACAAACAGAAGAGCAAAACTTACAGGTAGAGAAAATCAAACATTTCAGAAAGCTGCTTAAAATAATGGAGCCCATTTCCCCTATAATTATCACAGGATAACTGTGGTACAATCTCTTGCTTTTAAATAAGCCAGTTTTGACAGC